ATAGCCATTATAATACAACCATTATTTAACCATTATACATAGCCATATGGATGCAACCGGCATAACAGCACCAACACCGTGACTTAACTTGATGGTATATAATATAATATACTCGTACTTACTATTTATATGCATAGGTACAACAAGCTATTACACACTCAAAACGTACCGATCGAATGGAATCTATACGAAACGGTAACCTATCGTGCAGACAGGACCGACCAAACAATATAGCAATATAGACATAAAATCGGCCAGGTAGAGTTCAGACTAGACAATAAAAGCTGTAGACCAGAGATGGCGAACTTATGACACGGGCGTCACAGAGTGACACGCGCACACTATTTTAGTGACACACACGAATGTGTAAAAGTTTGATAATATTAAAGTTTTTGGAAAAAAAATTGATGGGTTATCGAACTAGTTGACACGCAGGAGAAAACAAAATCCAACCAAAATTTTTATTTGACATGTTGGTAATAAAAAAGGTTTGCCTTCTCTGATGTAGGCCGTCCGTCCAAGTATCCAACTAACAGCGTTCCTGCTCGATAGAGAATTTTGGCAGTTACTGCAGTAACGAATGCATGGTCTGTTTTGCACTAACTGTTATCGTGGTTATTGTAGATACCATCGATCACCGACGGAAATGTGAAAGCGACAAGATAGACCTGCTTGGACCCGAACCGTATTTAAAATTTAAAATTAATTCATCGTAAATATGTTGGAAGTATCTCGGCTTATTATTCAATGTAAAGTATAGAAAGAGCATTTAACGCTAGCAGTTGCTTTCACTTGGGTATAAATTGGTGTTTGAGAGATTTCTATGTTTTTATAAATATAAAATATTATGTAAGCATAATATAGTTGTCATATTATATTCTTGCTTTATTTATCCAAGACGTGTTGTTGATTTTAATTATTGTTAAAGTATATAACCATGGATTATAAATCAATGCTATAATGTATAGCACTATAGCCTATAGTAGCTTATAGCTATAGGTATGGAATGAATAATTGTGTTTGTAAAGAAAAATATCTACAAAAATATCTTTAAATCAACAATAAATCAACATAGAAACAAAATGAACGTTAAATAACCGAATTTTCATTATTTTGGTAAGCATGCCAACGAATTTACCTCAAGTACGGATGAACGGTCCGAAGGGAAGAACGGGTATACCTATAAAAACTATTAAGGACGTAGGTATTCGACAACATTTTGCTTCGATCGTCTTTCATATCCTTGAATACAGTCCAATCGTACGTCTCGGGTTTAACAGATCCAGTGGCGGTTTTTAGGGGGGGCGAAGGGAGCGCTCACCCCCCCCCCCTCGGATATTTTTTGCATGTTCTTTTTTTAATTAAAATTACACTAAATGCTTAAATTGCTTTAATTATGGTGAGGAGAGGCCCAAAAATTGAAAATAGCCCCCCCTTGATGTTTTATCAAAACCGTGACTGAACAGATCTTGCACACAACGTCATATTTAATTAATTTATGATAATATATATTTACTGATTGCTGAGAATACGATGTGTTCGTGGGGGAATACGTTTTCCTAAAACACTCTGCACTACTATATAGGGCTTAAATCCACACAACGTTTAGACGTAATATTACCCTACATATTTGCTTGTTTGAAAGCATTAACATAATTCTGAGCCTTTTAACCATTAGCGTTGCCTATAAGACACCACGGATTAATAGTAATCCAAAAATATGTTTGTACTCGGGAGTTGAAATAGTAGGTGATATTTTCTATTTGCTTATACGTCGTCAATTAATTTTTTTGCCCCACAATGTATTCCTATATTTCAATACGTCTTGTTATGCAATTCAATGTCTTTAATTCAATTTGTGATATTTTCTATTTATTTTTTTTTAATTGATTCATAATTTTTTGCAGCAAAACATTGACGTATTTTTTTATGTATGTATTTCAATGTGTTTTTTTCAATTTGATTATTTTTTCAACACTATGTTCGTACACACTTCAATTTTTCATCACTAGGTATCTTTTTTTAATTAATTTATTATTTTTCTTACAATGATGTTTATTTATAAATTGTAGTAGTTTTGCGCCCAAACTTGTCTATCATTTTACGCCCTAACATGTTTTCATAAAATGCGCCCAAACGTGTTTACAATTTGTATGTACATTTTTGATACCATGCCCCAAACTTGTTACACCCGTCCGTATACAAAAATCAAAACGGTAATAACATAATGTTACCTGATGTTTTATTCGAACACATTTTTTATTTTATGCTTATGTTTTTGTAGAGAATTATTATTAAATATTTCACATTCTAATAAATCGAATAATATTAAAAGCTGTTTAGCAGTTTATTTATTTCCAATAAGAACGTTTTATATTTATAATGTAAAATTACATTATACAAATGTTAATATTTGCTTGGTGATTTTATCAAATGCTCAATACCAAGCAGCGCAAGGTGGATATATATATATTATATATTCGCCTTGCTATTGTGACGATATTTTTAAACATCACCACAGAACACTCCTTAAAGACTTAAACGATAAACTCAATATATGTTTGAAAATATGGTCATTCAAAAATGTAAGGCTAGGTATTTCACAACATTTTAATACATTCATTGTTAGATAAAAAAAAGGGGTAAGAAAAGTAAGTATAACTGTATAGTTGTATGTATTGAGTGTAATTTCGTCATTCATGAGTAAGCCACTGTAATGTATATGTGTTAAATATTTGAATCCAGTGATATCATTGCATACGAAAAATGATTATGAGTGGAGACGGTTTGTCAGCCTTTTATCGTGTACTGCTATTAATTATTATAAAAATTTAATTAACTATTTGTTGAACGGTTAAAAACACCACTTTCTGTACATTTAAATATTAGATGGTTAGGTATCTCTAAGGCTGTAACCAATAAAATGTAAGTTTAATTTACTTAGCACGAAATTTAAAGCTTAACACAAATTAGTTTAGATGTAGATACATGAATACACAGTAAGAAATATATTTTAGTATTTTATATTTTCATGATGATTCATATGAAGTCAAAGTGTAGCATTGATGAGTTAACTCATATCTCATTTTGCAATAAACGTACCTATTACAAAAAAAAAAAATATCTGATTTGATTGATTATAGTTTACCTATACAATTATCTACACAAGAAACTTTAAAACAAATTGATGCAAAAAAGATGTATATAGTATATCGTATATGTATTAGAGGTCAACGGTCATGCGTAAAATTACATAATATATTTAGTCACTTAAAAAATTGACCAGATTTATTTCATGTCAAAAGTATGTATAATGTATATAAACACACGTATATATATAATAGGTACCTACAACATGTAATGTTATAAATGTATAATACCATTAGGATTTAGAATAATATTTGACCGAAAAGTTTTAATTGGACATAAAAGTTATAAATGTACCTATTGCATATAAGTATATTTGATGAGTTTTGTCACGTTTTTAATTTTGGGTGACATCAGCAATGGTAAATCTGTTACCAGTGCTTATCAGTTTTACAACTGGTGATCGTGTCATTTGTTATGAAAACTAATTGTATAAAATATGACGTAAGTAAATTTATTTGTACACAATATAAAAATTATAATTTAGGTAGATTAAGATTAGGTCATTTCATTTTAGTTTATTTACTTACACAGTTACACATCATAACATACTAAAAAGCATACATATAAAGTTGAATAAAATCATCTTATACAAAATACCAATTAAATATATTCCTAATTTAAATATAAATAAATATAATACTTATACTATATTATACATTCTATACATTTTAATACTTATCTGATAAAATAGGCAAATTCCTTGAGCAAATAACTCGAATTCTTTGACCTACTTATTACGTATGATTTATTTTAAAAATTATACTGAATGAATAAATGACATAATTTTGTATAGTATATATATATAATACATTTATAAAATAAAACAATTTAATCGAATACAAAATAAAAATGTGAAAAATATGTTCGATAAAAGTAGGTACTATAATAGTAAAAATGTATTAATATAAATTAAATATTAATGCATTATTTATTTATTTTGATTATAAATGCAGTACCTATTGTTTAGTCCAATTTTATTAATAACTACTATTATACTTTTTTATAATTCTAAAACAAAATACTAAATTAAAACATATTTTTGATCTATAATACGTAATTTACACATTATTAAAAAACTGAATCAATTTTTATAAAACTAAACATCAGAATCAACAGTCGTTAAAATTGTAATACCTACATAACAATTCATATTAATCTTATAAAATAGATTTAGCAATAGTGACACGTCATTATATTTCATTATACACTTAGTACTACTAAATTATACTTCAAAATGTTCAAATTCAGAAAAATGTACATTGATATAATGATATATTATAACTTATAAGTTATTATTTATGTATATTCTGATTATTATTTGAAATGAATAAAGTACCTACTAAGATTTTTAAATCATAAAAAAATCACATTAACAGTTCTTATTACCTACGCAATGGCATTCCATTAACTTTTAGTCTGAAACAAAATTTCGTATAAAACTCAAATACAATATTAAAGAGTTTTAAACTCTTTAATAATCAAAATTTAATTTAATAACTATTTGCAAACATTTTAATGTTATTGATATCTTAAAATTTCAAATTGTTTGCATGTAACTATAGAACTCTTACAAACCTTATAGATGTACCTCGTAATATTTGAAAAACAAAATAAAGTTTCGACGAATCGCTGATAAAAAATTAAATCCCCAGGAAAAAATGATTTAATGTTATACAATTGATATCAACTAAACAACAAATCACTATTGTATCCAGATGCTCACAAAAAGTAAAGCAAAAAATGAAGATTTAAATTTTTATTAAATGCACCTAAAAATAATATTAAAAAAAAATATCACCACAGTATAACTTCTTATTACAATATTATTTACTATAAGCCTATGCCCTATCGATTATGGATACTTTATAAATATTAAACAATAATACTAAGTACTCACTTACTAGTATTAGTATAGTATAATAATACTTGTCTACTCATACTAAACATAACATAATGGTATCTAATTTTATTTTCTAGTCTTATTGAGTTTTCAGCGATTTCGGTGAAACGTACATTAACATCGCATTGTCGTGTCTGATTCGTGAGGTCATTGTGTGATGTATACAAATAATACTTTACTGATACATAGGTATGAATATTATATCAAAAATTGGTATGTATATATAAAGAAGAAAATAATATGTGAAATGTGAAAACGATTACAGTAATATCATCACACTGACACTGTGGTGTGTGACTATACTGCACTTCAGAAAATTCAAAATAGTGGGTGAGGGCCGAAGGGGTTAGGTTGTCGGTAGGGATTTGTGATTCCGATAGAATGAAATATAGGTAGGTACGGTTGGCCAATTTTGTACACGATGGTCACTGGTGAGTAACCGTCTCGAAAACCCGGGAGAGCTTCAAGGCTCCCATAATGCTGTATACTTTGTATGTAACCTAAACAACTATAATATGAGAATTCTGGAAGGGAGATTTGTACATAAAAGCATGATATAGTATCAACATAAAATAATTCACGTATATATTATAACGTGATATTTCGCTGTTTGTCTGATCATTTCGAGTCAGCACGCTGTCGGTGCGATACTGCGATTCGTGCAGTTTTTTTTTCATAACTGTATTTATGAGTTGGAATATTGTATTTTATTTAATGCGTTTATTCTATACTGCTAAACTTAACTAGTAGTTCAGTTAATGTAACAAGTGATCATCACAGTTAACAATCGAATATATTAAGGATATATAACTAACACTATCATGTTCGTTCCTTTACTTTTATTCGTGTCGTTGACGGATGTTTTCGGTTATTATTTAGCTGATTTGACTATACCTCGAAACCCGCACGAACAGTCGGAACACATTTACGAAAAATGTTTGTCAATGAACAAAATTGTCTATGAAGACCGTTGTTGGGACTTGTTGACTAAAGGACCGTGCGATGAGGGTTAGTGACAAGACACGTTTTTTTTATTATGTTAAAATCTACTTACCTTACCTGTTTCCTATTTATAATGAATAATAATATTTTTTAAAGTATAGAATAAAAATATCGATTAAATAGAAAAACGGAAACGAGTTGCGACATGAAGCAACACCTAGATATGTATATACCTAGATCTATGAAATATTTTCTCATACTATTTAAATTAAATCTTTAAAAAGCAAACAATAAAAGACCAATAGGTCACATCGAGTATACACTAGTACAGTGAAAATAAAATAATACTATTAAGTAATACTTCTATCCAAAAAATGAAATAAGTGAAATGTTTAGTTTCTTTAGGAGACCTTAATATGAAAAAAATTTAAATTAAAAAATTAAAAAATTAAACATTTATGTACTTACTTATACTATGACAACAAGATGGTAATCACCGTTAGATTTTTACGTTCTCCTTAACCCCCTCCGATCAAAACTGTTGACGCTTCATAAAAAAAATATTATTTACTTTATCTGATTACGCATCAAGATTTAAATATATAAATATAAACAATATAGGTTTATGTCGATGAATAGTTTATGGTTGAAATGATACATTGTAGGATATTAACTTTTTTGTATAAGTTATGAAAAATAAAACACATATTGGTCTTTTGGCTATTATTATTGAATCCTTCTTTAATTCTTACTTGTATAAAAAATTATAAGGTCGAATGTTATTTAATATAGATATAATCAAATGAATATATACTTACAATATTATTTTTAAGTTAAATATTATATTTGTATAGAATATACATACAAATTGTATGAATAAGAAAGAGTAATTTTTTTTATTTATAAAAGTGTTTAATTTAAATTAATGTAAGACAGTATAACACAACTATTTTAACCACTGAAATTTGGTGTCATACATAGTCATGATTATATATCAGTAAGCAAAAACATAGGCTGAAATCCATCCAATTTAAAGTATTCAAAATCTAAAGTACCTACTAACTCTTATTAATTCGTAAATAATAATTGTGATTAATTTACATTTACATAAAAAAAACAAAGATTTTATTTTGCGAAAAAAGATAAGCACATGAATTAACAATTATACAATTAAAATTGTTGAGACCTTGAAGATTTCCTTAGTCCCAGACAATTAAAATACTTTAACGACGCAAAAACATAAAACATATAAATATAAATGTAAGACAGTTATTATTACTAGCTTTTATAAAGGTTAAGTAAATAGATAGTTCTACTACTATAGTTCTTAAAACTAAATAAAAATATTCATAAATATAATTCAACATCTAATAAAATATTAAACCATGTTAAATTAAACCTTATAATTAGGTACATAATTCATAAATTCATAATCATAATACATTTTACAAAAATTAAAACAAATAATTTACCTAAAATTTGTATTATACAACGCATTTATTAAATTTAGATTAAGAATAATATAAGTAATTCAATAAATATTATATATTGATACATACCAACCACATATTCTGGTAATATTATTTGAAAATGCATTTTAAATGATAGATTCAACAATTTAAATCAGTTTTTATAGCTTTGAAATTATAAAATTAATCGTATGCCTTAAAAATAATCACCAATCTGTTGAGATTAATTTATTGTACTACTAAGTCGAAAATTGCATGCCTATACTGTCCTCCTAAAGGTGCGCATATGCCTTAACCATTCACTATATATACTAAAAGAACTAAAATACGTGCGCATGCCCTGGGGTACGTAATCGTTGTAATCTCAATTTTAACATAGTTCAAGGGTATTGTTTTTGCCAGTAAAAGACTACAAAGCGAATTACATGTAGTATAAATGAAGATAAATAATCAAGAACCTAAGAGCTTGCGTGTAGATAAATTATTTATACTTGTATTTTGTACCTTGATTCTTGAACAATTTCCGCCAATAAATAATTATACAAGCTACAAAAGCACCCAAAGAGAATATATCTACAATAGATTTTTATTTTCTAATTATAATTTATAGCTTACATTATTAAAACAACTGAGTAATTAATTATATAGACCGTAATGTAATCAGAAAATATTAAATAATGTTCAGTGTTTCTGTTTCTAACTCAGCAAATACAATGTATGCAAACCATGCATAATAAATCTCCCATAGGTGGGGACTAGGGAGACTTAATTTGATTTAAATAATTAGTTGGATTTTTCACAATATCTACCCAATAAAATCTCACAAATGTCAATAAACGTCAACGTTGACATTTTAAAACAGATCAAAATACGGGAGTCATTTATTGTAGCCAATCAATTAAAGTATATATCTTTATTGTTATTGCCTATAAATTTTTATTATGATTTAATATAATTCATCAAGACTTATAAAGAAGAAGAATAAGAATAAATCAATACTATAAATTTACAAAACTACAAAAGTATAATGTTTTGACCGAACTCTAAATTCATACGGTATATTATATAAGTACTTAAAACCTGATAGAAAACGCAGAACTACAATTTAAGAACCTACCTGTAACCTGTAACATGACTAAACTCAATAGAAGTATTACTCCTTAGGGTTTAGGACTTGGATCATATTAATTTAATCTCGGTGAAATAAAACTATCGGATACAATATTGGTAACGCATATTCAAACAATTTAATCTACATGGGTTTAGTGTCGATCAAAATATCATATTTTTATATTATTATTTTTTATATTATTACTATTTTTTTTTTAAGTGCCACATACAAAACTTAACAAAATAACCGTTATTACCTATTTATTACTTATGAATCACTGAAAACTATTTTAAATTTAAATTTCCTAAAAAATGATATTTACGGAAAATACGCATTATTTTATGATTATAACTTATAAGTTATAACAAAGAAAGTGAACTTCAAAAGTTCACAACCATATTTTTTTAGTTAAAATATTTTGATTGTTAAAACATTTAATATTTAATGACGACCAGTATTTTTAGTTTAGAAATTGTTTTTGTTCAATTATTCTTGTAAAATCATTCTTATTCTAAGAAGCGTATTTAACTATTCTAAATTATAATATTTGAAGTTTTTTATAATGAAATAATTCACTGCATTCTAATTGATGAAAACAATACATTAATCAATTTCAAAAGAAAATATATTTCTTAGCTTCTTAAAATACTTATTTAAGTATTCATTTTGAATACTTATAGTTATAGCTTATTGGTGTATAATATGCAGATAAATCCTTATCGGACATTCGTTTGCTATGTTTACATATTTTTATCTTTAATATGTGCAGCCGAGTAAGTTAGTATCAATGAACGTTTGACATAATATATGTCAATACGATCACGTAATAAATGGTTAAGATTCAATTATACTCTTACATTATATATTATGTCGTATATAAGTGAACTATTTTGTGTTACCTATCTCGTTAAATCAATATTCCCAGCCCAAAATCTTTTTATTACATAATTTTACTAATATTTTATACCTGCGTGGTTTTATAACTATACATAGCAGTTACTATTTTAAAATAATATAAACCAGGTTGTGCGACTTTTACCTACCTATATAATTCCAATAATAATCATAAGTTCACTTTGAGATAAAATATCGTACATAAGAAAAATAATAAAATAATAATAATATTATAACTTTAATTAGATACAACTATACAAGCATTGCATATTGCAATAAAGGCGCAGTATAAATTAAAAATCTATTCCAAGCAAATAGCAACTATTACAAGGACAAATTTTAAGAATAAATAACATTATTTGATTCTAGTAAATGTATGAGCTTCAGAAACTATATATTATACACACATATATTGTTATGATATACGTACATACATATTTTAAACACTATTTACTCATAAACAAATTAATGTAAAATATACGATTATGATGTAGGTACACAGGCAGAGTCACACGGTACGCAGGCGATGATTAAATAATACGGTTGATATAGGAAAGAGGAGGTAAATATTAAAAAAATCACAAGCACCTTTAGGCGGTAACGTTTCATGTAGAAGTAAAAATGGAACGCGTTATGAAACTTTCCTAGCAGGATACGTAGGTACAAAGCTATATTTCAAATAATATATTATGCACACTTAACCTAACCACATAGCATAAGAGGACAAACAGTAACGAGGTAAACACGATGAATCGGGAGGAGAAGGGTTTGAGATGTTTTATTGTTTATATAGCTACATATTAGCTAGAGTTAGGAGCGTTGAACGTGAAGGCATTGGATGTATCGCCAATTGGGTGTTGACTGAAGTACTATAATAATATTGTACATGAATATATTATTGTGCATTCAAATTGTATACATTATAACAAGTTTTTAGTAGTTTTGAAAAAAAACCTAAATTTCGAGTCATCGTGACTACGGCCTCCTAGGTAAATATACCTAAGATTTTATTTAATTTGAAACGAAAATAATGTGGAATGAGGTCATAAGGAGAAATGCCAGTGATAGTTAGGTTATGGACCCATAAATACCTGTAGGTACGTTATTAAAATAGTTTTCAACCACCCAAGTCTACTCTTATTTCTGAAGCTTGTTGAAACACGTAATATTAGGTGTGTAGTTTTCTGAAACAGTTTAGAGAGGTGAAAGTTAATGGATACCTACATAGATGAACAAGATAAATCGACAAACATTTTGATGGCAATCTTTTTTATTTAAAAAAATCTGATGATTGCGTCTTATTATTATTATGTATTATTAATTCAGGGCTATGAACATTATGCTCTAAAGAATAATGAAATATGTGAATACGTATGCAATAAAAAAGCTCAAATATGCAATCATTTTTTTTATAACATATGTATTTATATAGGAATAAGCTTAATTCTTCAAAAAAATAAAAATTGAAAATTGAAAATTATTTGTGTATAATTTTTCTTATGTAATATAGTTATGTTTTATGTTTTCAAGTTTAAACGTTGTGTTCTGTTGTGGCTTGGATAGTTTTTAAAGGAAGAAAATGATTTTGCAACGTAAACCGACGTAATTAGAGCTTACTTGCAGAAAATAAGGTCATTTTTTGTCAAATGTGCGGGAAATCATCCATGTTAGAGAAAGACCCACTAAGATGAGATGTGTTTGAATATTTTTAGACCGATATTTTTTGATAAAATGCTTTCAGTTTCTAGTTAACTTTTTTCTCTGGATCACCTTGAACGGATTTTAATTGTGTTTTGAAATAAACCACGATCTCTACTCAATGATTCGACTGAAAGCATGTCTTAATAATCGGCATAGTATAGTTCCAATTTCCAAACATAAACAAAGTGACGATATTCTGTGGCTTTTTACTTTTAATTATTTAAATTATAATTTTCAATTGTTGATGAATCAATATGATTAAAATCTTTAAATATGCAAAATCATAAGAAATTGACTGTATGTATCAAGAAATTAATTTGCATCGAAGTAAATGTTGAATATACAAATACGCAAAGTTCGAGCCCAATTATTATTATTATTTTATTTTTTAATTAGCTTTTACTTATAATTATAGCTCAACAGTTACATCTATTGATTATTATGTTATAAAGTAACTAGGTAATAATAATATAAGCCACCGAGCTTACAGAAAAGTGATTTTGAACGGAGTTTGTTTGTCAACTCGGTTTACTTATAAAAAATGGTCAATAATATATATTTTTATATATACTGGACTTAATAACACTATATATCATTATATTATTCATGCGTTATAAATTTATAATAAATGGTGTGTGTATAGGACAGTGGTTGGTATTGGACAAAGTGTCAGACGAAGACCAACTGCAAGGGTCACTCCCGTTGAGGGCCAAGTGCAAGAGACGCCGATGCAGCGAGTCGGATGTGTACTGGCCACGCGACGGGTTTTGCCACGACGAGGAAACGGCTAGGCGTGACCGACTGTGCGCCAGCTCGGACACCGTGTTGGCCACCGATGAGTACGGTGACGGATACTGCAAGTGTCAAGACCGTGGCAAAGTCCCTTACGTGCAGGTTGTTTCCGCTGACGACGACAGTGACCAAGACTCGCAGCCATGTTATCCGGTGTACTCTAAGGGTGCGTGTCCCAGGAATCACGTGATAACGCCCCACAGGACCAGGTGAATATAATAATCAATGACTATTGGTATTGTGTATAGGTGTTATAGAAGCCATTTTTTTCCTGCTCTCGTTCCGCTTTTGCTATTTTTTAATATTATCGTATATAATAATTACTTGCAAAAGCATACAATAATATTATATATTGTGTGTGTTGCTCATAATTGCCGTGAGATCTGGGAGACAGTACAGCAATCGGTTGTGGTACATAATCTTTACCCGTCTAGGCCGTTGCGTTGCCTGAGGTACACTGCGTGGAATCGATTTACATTTGTACCCCATCATCGTGGTAATGGACGTCTTCCTCTAAAAATAATTTTTGTATATTTTTCATTGACTAATGTACTTTTTTATACATAGGTTTATGTATACCAAAAAGTCTAGAAACCCTAAATAAAAAAATAGTATAGAAATAAATTCAAATGTATTATTCAAGCATTAAAATATTTTTAGAAAACTAGGTATTTCAAAAAATCGGATTTTAATGTTAACAAAATATGAATGCAAAAAAACGGGAAATTTGGGTCAAATGAGAATACCCGGCAGAAATTGTAATTTTTTATAATAATCAATCTAATGCCTATACATTCGCATGGTTATGACGCTAAAATTGATTGACCCAATAGCCACTTGTTAGACTAATGACCTTTGGTAAATACACACACGATACAGTCCTAGCTTATCTAGCCTTATATATTGTACATTATAATTTATAATACAACACTATTATATTATATTATACAGTGTTATGATATAGATATAATATGTACACCCCCTCCCCCATATATCCAACATATGATTTATATAATATTATATAAGTAATTTATTTCAGAAAATGTTACAAAGAGGATAATTATTACATAATTTGGTTTATTGTATTCCAATATTAGCTACCTCTACGAAAATTATTTTAGCACGAATTATATTATTATTTCCAAATTGAAGGAAATAGTAAACACACATCGAAACAATATTTTTAATTAATTTCAAAATATAACTAGATGTTTACATAATATAATTGTGTTAATAAAGTGTTAATAAAATTGTATAATAGTGTTTTCTGTAAATTTGCCAAATATTAAATTATCATAAGCATCATAAAACTTATTTTTATACTGCACCTATAATAATCAGAAAGTCAGAAATACAATTTTTATTATTTTAAGTATTATATAAATTGTGTTAAATAAAGATATTTTGCGAGCAATCCATAAATTATGTGCTGAAATCAATTAAAATAAATGTTTAGGCAAATTATATACACAACATAGCTACATGCGCGGTATTGTTATCTAAAGTTTAAAGTTTGAACATAACTTAATGAATGCATATTTTACTCTTAGGTGTAGCTTGGTATAGTTCTTACTTCGTTACTTAGTAGGTACTTCCACTTCATTACAAAATCAAGGTTTGAAAAATAAGAAAATGTTTTAGGTTTAGGTAAGTACCTATTAAACATACCTAGATATCCTAAATATTGTATTTTACAATAAAATAAATTGTAAGCTTTATAGATACAAAAACAAAGTTCTAAATAGGTAATGCAAGAAGCAACGAAGTATCATTAAATATATAAAATATTTATTACGCAGGTATATCAACATAATATCATACTATCAAATAAATATATAATGATGTATACGATTTCAAATTATAATATAATTATATCTAAATATATTCCAATATAATAATCCAAACATAAAATTTGTAGCATACAAGACAAAAATGTGTCAGATCGTAATTCGTAAATTATAACCATGCATCTACGTAATCTAATTTAATAAGCGTTAAAACTAAAAGATAATGTTTGTCAATATTTTATACTCTTGACGAGGCAGCATCCACGATAGATTAGCCTCTTTTGATATAAGTTTTCACTAACAGGGTTTGAGCACGTAGTTTTACCATTCCTACCCTTCATTCGACAATAACGTTCAAACTTTTGCTACGTGCATACTCGAGTTATGTCACAACATTCAACCTCAATAATCCAAAGAATTCATGTAGTTATTCCGAATACTCTGATGTCACAAACTTATCCTACATCTCCATATTTTCTTAGCTACTATATACGTAGGTAGGTAAATACGAGAATATATTCTATTAAAATATGGTCTCAAAATAGTTGTGTTTTGGTGTCATGGTGAACTCCACAAGTACTTCCGTTATACCACCAACTTTGAAAAATATATAGAATGATAAACTCAATGTACACTATTAGAGAATAAATCGCTAACCAAATTAATATAGTCGAATTGATATGAGAATACTATATTTATTAACAATAATTAAGTATATATTTAGAGCCAGGAATATTTTTATTTTATTTTTAAAAGGGCTGAGTATCAGTTTTCAAGAAAATTCCATAGTGCTAAATTTACTTAATTGCCAAAGCCATTTGATCCTCTTCACAAAAATGAATTTTATTTTATTCACCGGTTAACCAATACGTATAAGTACTTGTCATTTTAAAATTAATAATTAAAAAATCAATACAATCATATAGTAGCTAGGAATGAGGGTTGATGAAGAAAATCTTGGCTGCATCTCTGGGTTCAATACGCTTGATTTTAAAAATAATAAACCCATAATTTACTAACAGCCGAGGCTGATTTTCAAAGTCATAACATCATTCAATTAATTTGAAAAATATTTTAATTAACACCATAATATAAATGTATTTTTTTTATAAAAAAATCCTTTTCATATAGATACGGAATCTGCACGGTGGACGAGTGCGCCGAGGAACGGCGCCTGACCGATTCGTCGTCACCGTTGCCGCAGTGGTCTCGTTCGCAACAACAGCGACAGCAGCCATTGTCACTCGCCCGGTGGACCGACGGACAGTGTTACGAGCTGGGCACGCGGGGCCCATGCACCGGACACGAGCAGTTCGTAGTACTCCGTGCCACGATGCGACCGGATTGTGTCAAGCTGTCTATCGAGCTAACAGTATTACCCAAGACCACAGACCGTCCGGGGTGCAAGACCGACCACTGGGGAAATTGCGAAGCAGGGGTAGAAGTGTCGACAACGCCTAACGAATTAAAAGACGCATTGCTCAAGAATGCCAAAAAGTACAGTCAAAGGGCCCAAATAAGGCGAGCTAGCCTGCTCGAGGGTCGTCGTCATCTGTTGCAGTGGTAGCCATTGAGTAGGTACCTATCTAGTATCTATATATACTGTTTAACCAAGCATGGCGTGAGTATTTAAGATATTCAGAAGTGGTAGGAGGGAGTTGGAAATTAAGCGTGTATAAATGGTCGTTGGACAAAAAAGTGTTTCTACTAGTTATATTACACGCAAAAAAAAGAATTTTAAATGTATTTATATACGTATGGTAATATTGTATACACTTTTTTTATACAGAACACAAATTAAGTAAATACCAAATTTTATAAAATCAACTCTACATGGTCTCCTATTTATAAACATTATAATACAATATGTTATGATAGAGTCAGTCTTAAGCGGCAGTGGGACCTCTGCCCCGAGTCTTAGCATTTTAATCAAGAGCATGTGTATGAGATTTTGTTATTCAAGTTATAAAAAATTATATTTTGAAACCTCACCAAAAATAATTGCCCCAGGCCTCGCTCCACCTTATGGCCGGGTTTGTGTCATAGTATAATCCTAACCTATTTCTCATAAAAATAATGGTATAGGTATCGTTCATAGTTTTATAAATAAGTTTTACACTATTGTCGACGTTCATCGTACGCCTATGTCTATGTCCAACGACAGTGATGGTGGCCAGGTGACGTTGCTTTCAGTTAAAAAACGGTTGGAACTCAGGAGTACCAATAATATTAAAATGAACCTATTCTACAAAATATGTTATAATAATATTATATATTTATGTAGTTCAATGATTTTAGACTTGAATGTTGTCACTAATATTATGATTAAAAATAAAAATATTTCAAATTCCACTTTTTTCTTCACCCTGTATAAATATGTATACCACTCAGGCTGTCCGCTCTAGTTGGGTATCTATAAACCTACTCGATAGACTATAATTAGTTGATATCAAACGCGATACCATCCAACACCTTAAAATTGTGAGTTACCTATTATTATCTCTTGAGCCTTTATTTATAATGTAGGTCGTCCTATCATAAAATATTATTGACTAAGAAAGCTGTAAAACTATAATAAAATATATACGTTGTAAACGGGAGACTTTTTAATGTTATGTATAATACCTAGCTATACCCCTTTCATCACTCATGCTTGGTTTATATTTTTTAGTCTATACACAGTGGAGCAGTGTGATTTTATTAATAGGTGAACACCGGGGCTATCTTGAAAGATGTGGAAGGCGTTAATAGCTCCCGGAGGGGTGACCACTCGGATGTTTAGCAACAAAATCCTTGCCACACACACAATAGGTGTTTAAAACCAACAATTTTCCCTTAAAACAGCTAATAGTCATAGTTGTTGGGCTTTAGATCAATAAAAAAAAAATGTTTCAACTCCAACTTTCATATGGAATTCATAACAATGTTATGGTTTTTAAACAAATACATATTTTTATATTTGTAATAGTTTATGTACCTCATTGATGTACATACATTCATATAATTCATCTCATGTAGGTATAATTTATTTATTTTTATTTATTAGCCTTATTCTGATTAAAAATAAACAAAAATGAAATTTAGCTTTTTTAAATATTATTCAAATTCTTAATTTTATGTATTTTACTACCTTACCTAATTACGAAATTTTTTTTTTGAAAATCTATATAGTTGGAATAACTAAAAAAACATTTACCCACGTAAGCATAGAAAAATAAAATGTTATTGCTATTTTATTGCGCTATAGACTTAAGTAATACTTAGTAAACTGTATATTATTCCATTAAGCCATGATAATAAATATATTACAAAAAAGATACGACTATATATCATAATTGTTTTTATTTACCTCTCTGTAGAGCCCACCTGCGTATAAGCATGTTAAATATTATAATAACTAATAACCTTTTGAGCGCTAGTCGATCACCGATTTTTTTCCATAAATTACATCTTACGGGAATTATCAATAAATAATAAAATCATTAAGACGTCATAGTCGTTTATTTTTGACATTACCTAATGACATAGTTTAGACTTTGCTTGACATACATTTCGGTTGCATCGTTGCAAGTACTACTTTATACTTACAATATGTAAGCAGTATATGTGACACAAGTAAAATAGGCATAAAGTGGCTATAATATTACATTTTATTATTTAATTTGATAATTGTATGTAATTATAAGTATATTAGATAAAATCAATTATATTTAAATATGTTAAATTAATGAAAATGCATAAGTTTAATTATTTCTAGGTTTAAATTAATATATAGGTAATATATAAACATAATATGATGATTGATGAGTCCTTACTACGATTATGCACTACTGCGTCGAATGTTCAATATTCTATACAAGCAATAGACAATCATCCTATAACTGCTCCTCTTAAGAATACTTTAGATGCTCCTGAATTTTGACACATAAATAATTTCTTAAGAAGTATGACTTTAAAATTAATTACATTTTTGAGTAATTCTTAAAATAAATTATTTCAACTAGGTACCTACTTTGGTATATTTTTATTCCATGCTAGAGACATATTGAATTGATTCTTGTACAGTCGATAGAATAAACTAAACAGTTAAATATATATCATTTTAATCAATATTGGTTATTTATCGGAATTTGCTAAAAACCAAACTTAATAAAAAAATATAATAACAGAAATAACCACAACAATTGCCAACAGCCCAGATTATTAGAAGATTTCGTATTGATTATAGAGACTATGTTGTTTGACCTTTTGCCAGAATTTGTCTGTCCTTTCTACATAAACGTGACAATACATTTTAGAGTCTAGTCGTCTTTATTACATTAAACAGTTCAAGGGTTTTTAAGTGAATTTTAAGGGACATCCATAAGTCACGCCAACAAATCTTAAATCAACAATCACATTATTAATACAAATAAGTAACCATAGGTATACCCTAATTAATATTTAAATGGTTAACAAAACAATTGTATAGTTCTATCAATTTACAGTTAGAAATACATTTTTAAATTATATTTTATGAAAATAAATAATAATCTACCAATACATAAATACATTATAATGAACTAAGTTAGTGAATCAGTTGTAATTTATACATTTATAAGTTACAGTCAATTTTTAAACAGGGTGCATAGTTTTATATAACCCAAATAAGAAACAGAGCATAGGTTTATATTGTACAAAAAATTTGTTGTACAAAAAATGTATGTATAGTTATTAGTTATTAGTTCATTACCATAGAAAATACTCAAATAGATCTAAATTTAAAATTTATTTTTTTATTTTGTTAAATTTCTGGATACCTTGTGTGCCTTAATTAAAGGTGTTCACAAGTATAAACTATAATAATTATATTATTGAACTTGTAATAACATGTAATATGTTGACACATTTTAAAAATATAATAAATGAAAAAAAAATTATATTCTATTGACTATTGTTATACAATATGCATAACAGCATAACATACTATAAATAGTTTATAATTACAAAAGTTACAAAATTATTTAAATACCTGATAAAAATAAAAATATTATATTTTTCATGTATAATAATATATTATACAACATGACGTTATCTACCTTCCTAAATTAAACTTTTTACTTCGTGAACTAAATTGTATACCAATGATTAATTCTGTCGGTTATTGATTTAGCATTACGTATTCAATATTTCAACAACATAAATTAAGGCTCTCTAGTATAGACTAATACTCAATTTTGTTTATATTTACCTGAGTATTTTACATGATATGCCTTTGTGAATAAATAAAACTATTCAGAAATTACTTGAATATTTATGTACCTATAATTTTAACTCATAAAATAACTATTACTTAATACAAAAATGTTGTATTATTGTTTGTAGAAGTTTATTTGTATAATAACACCTTTAAATGTATTAATTTATTACCTAATGTAAAATGTTTAACATACTTCAGATTAACAAAATGGTACCTAGTCAATAGTAAAATTAATACTATTATAGTATTATACTTACTCTATATAAATTTATATAAATACTAGCTGATCCCGTGCACTTCTTTGCCCGTTAAAAATGCCAACTCTATATGAGACTCGATGGTGATAATGAGAGCAGTATATTATTATGCCTACATTCTGAGGATTGCGGGCCCAGCTTGATGAGTACTTTATATAAATAATATGTTTAATTTTTATTTTGATTGCGGACACGCCGATGAGCGGCTATAAGTGCAACTCAGCCACCTTGGTATAGGCAATATGCGAAAATTCAATACCTGATCTGCCCGATTAGCCACTGCAGGCAACCAATAGACAAAAAAAATACCAATTTCTGCTAAATTTATTTATATTTTTCCTATAACCAATAACAACCGTATAAAAACAAATATTTCTTTCGTGAATCTTAAAATCCCTGTTTAAGCAACTCCCCGGGTCGGACCTACCGGGTTCAATTGTGAATGTGAATCTAAACCATCCAAAGCGTCACCCAAACGCATACAAAAAAAATGTATTCAAATCGGTCCAGCCGTTTAGGAGGAGTTCAGTGACATAGACACACGCACAGTAGAATTATATATATATAAACATATAGGTCCTAATATAATAAAACAACTTATAATAAATCCAAATAAAACAAGATGAGAACATTCAAGCATATTTTTTTCTTCAAAAATGTCTAAATTTAAGCTTTTTTTAATTTTGAGATAAGTAATGTAAAGTATCTTCTAACTGCCCCATCCACTCTCGAAAAAAAAATCTGGTAAATGACTCCGTCTGCAGTCATATGTGTGTTTTGATTTGGTCATTTGGATTATACCAAAACTGAAAATATGCATATTTTACCGTGTTCATAAATTATAAAAATAATAATGTTATAAATTATTATACATTATATTATATACCTAGATAGTCTAAACAACAACAGTAATAATGATAATATACATAATAATACAATATATTTATACATTTTACACATAATATTATTGTAATAGTACGATATTGTTGATTACGTAGTATTATTATTATTATTATAGCAGTAGTATAATATAGTACGGCAGTAAACACGATGGACAGCTGAAGATTCCGCTACGATAACGTCAATAATAATAAATAATAATAAATGTAAAAATAAAAACGTATCACTGTCCGGACAATTTTGCGTCGTGATAGAACCGTCTGGTCCCCCCGCACCGCCCCGGGCGACGATACAGACAGACGTTGCAGACATCACGACGACGATCGCGACTGTCAAGGTCGACCCCTTCCCGTGTCTGCGCTCGTCCGATGATCGTCCAAGGGATTCGCATTTGCCGATGTCTTCATTTGGTTGCAAGTTCTCCGCTTACGCACAACCCGACACCCGTTTTTTTTTTTTTGGGGCTCTGAACGTAGACAATAACTGCTCATTCTCTTTCGACCATCCCATCAGACTTTAAATTTCAATAAAAATCGTAACATTGTTATGGCCGACTTGCTGGTGGACATGGACTACGCTATAATGACCATCAACTCACAGATAGTGTACAAGCCGACCAACCAACGTGATGACCCAGAACCCGACAACGATCGCGAAGTGTACGTGGGAAACCTGCCGCAGCACTACACCATTGAGAAGTTCGTCAACTTTGCCAAGTAAGCACCGGACTAGAGGGATGTTGTAGTATAGAGAAGGTTAATGGCGTAAATCATACTTGTATTTGAAGTAGTTGAGTTTGCGAGTAGTTGAAATCATCGCTGTTCAACACGCCTGGGCCTCGTAATAGTTTCGATTCAGGGACCTCCACTCCCCCGCGGGACCGAAAAACACGATTTGCATTTCATTCTTCAGCGATTGATCAGTATTTAATAAAGTGTAATGATTTTTCTTTGCAAAAATAAAAAAATAACAATTTGCAGGAATAATAAATTGCAGTCTGTTAGACCTCGTATATTTTACGATACGAATTTAATAGTCCTACACCAGTCCCGTTCTCGTATGATTTAATTCCAAGGAGATAGCACCGTTGAGCATATGATGACCTCATACATCAGCTGATGTACAGCACCATTTAATATCGCTTTTGTGTTTATATTAGGCGTTTGGGCAATGAGATTATCGATGAAATTATTGATGAATTCTCCTATTTTTTCTCACTTAGCAAATTTTAATGATGCAGAACCGCGCAGCAATATTCTTTTAATAGACAATTAAAGTAATAATACAACTATTAAAGTAATATAGGTATCTTCATTGTTACCTAATATGACCAAATGACAAATTTCATTTTTTTTTCATCCGAAAATTGTATTTAATTGTGTATTGTAATGCCATTTACGATCATTTATCTTAACTTTTGCAGAGACTTAAAGATGAATATAATACCAATGCTTTCCAGTATCCACTTAAAAATATATTTTATATAGTTTAACCCAGGCAACTATATTTTACCAATATGTATGTAGTATAATGGTGTATTGGTGTATGATGTAGAACTATTTATTATTTATTACAACAATACGCGTCGTTACCTAATGGTATTTGATAAATAAAAATAAATTTAAAACAAAAATGAAAAATTAGGTGACATTTTTATGAAAATGTAAAACTTATTAAGTGCCTGCGCAGTTGTATCAACGAAAAATCCAACTTTATGTTATAACTTATAATGAATTCCGTTAGTACTTAAATATTTTTCTGGTTCACTAATTAACTAACTATCAATGAATATATTTTTTATCATTTACTGCCAATCTATAATTTATAAATAATACTTTAATTTTTTTAAATTTTGTATGTTTACATTATTAATACAGGGTTATTCACCGAGCATGATGCTCACCCCTTATTTCTTCTATAATGCAGTTATTCAAAATCTGATTTTTAGAATAATTGTAATATGTACTTAAATACCATATTTTCAAATTTTTAATTTGTTTAGTATACCACCTACTTAAATTGTATTTTGTGGAAATGCAAACTTCTATTTTTCAAATGAGAATCTCTTTTAAACTTTAAATTATTTAGCAAATAGTTTTTCTGAACATTTTGAGGTATCATAATTTTTACTCGTAGTGTTTAAGTTATTTAGCTTTGGGTAGTAGGGATAATAGATTCATGATAATAGGTTTGTAAAATATTGGGGTTATAGTGATTTAAAAATTGTAGGGATTTATATTAATCTACAGTCATTAATAATTTATAAAAGTGATCCAAGTATAGTAAATACTAAATACTATAATATCCAACATAACATTTATTTTATATTTTTGTAAAACTATTTTTAAGAACTATTTACTTAGAATAAACATTTTAATAACTGAGAAACTAATCGTTAATATTTTAAACTATGAAGGTACATCAACCTTTTCAAAACAATTTTCTCCTTCATAATTTACATTAAAAAGGAGAGGAGGAATACTCATTTGAAAACAGAAGTTTATATCACCACATCCCACAGGACACTTCTTAAGTAGTATAAAAAATAATAATATTACTAAAGAAAAATAGGAAGAAAAGTGAATACCACTTAGTACCTATAGGTATCGTCAGTTACTGTAGTGGATGTGTTAAATTTTAATTCAAATTGGTATATAAAATCATTGTATACGAAAAACGGTTTGTCAGCCTTTATTACTAAGTATAATATGCTATGATATAACTGCTTTTAACGTCATTTATTTTACTATTAGTAATGCATTAGATTAAATTATTTTTTTTTTGAAAACCATGAGTTTGAAAATGTCATTGTGTATTCGTGTTTATACCTATGCTTTAAAATTAGTACTAAAATAGACCCGGGAGACTAGAGAGTTCACAAATACTTTTCAGGTAGTTCTGAAGTAGACCCGGGAGAGTTTGCAGGTCTTTAAAATCGAATTAACATTCGCTCACAAGATCGTAATAACTATCGTATAACCTCACATCGTCTTACCTTGATTAGTGAAACGGAAGTCGCGTTTCGTCGAACCGACAATGGTGGGCTACCGTTCAATGTTCGTTCCGCTGGAATTGTGTTGTTCTGCGATATAATTTTATCTATTAATAAGCGCCCGAGGTACACTACAACGCAAAAAGTATTAACGGCGGTGTGATCGAGTATCAAACGGCACGACGGACTCGAAGAAAGAGGCCAGAGACGGTTGCGTTTTCCTTATACCCGAATGCGACGACGAAGAATACCGCGGTTTCCGACCTCTTGAAAATATACCAGGTCCGCTGTCCGCGATATGTACCGTGGTCGTCAAATTTATATCGCGGTCACTGCCGTAGATATATCACTTTTTACTTTTTTAGTATTTAAGGTTTATGGTATTTGGTATTACTTTTATTCCGTGATATTATACCTACGTAGGGTGCTTTCCGTTCTACGCGTTCACCACGCCTTCCAATTTCCTAGTCTCCTCGATGAAAACCATTTTTCTATCGCAGTTCGAGGGTCCTTTTTTTAGTTAGTTATATTTTATGTTTTTTTTATTTTGTTTTTTTTATTTTGTTTTTCTTTTCTTTTTTTCTTTCAATTTTTTTTTTTTATTTTTTTTTTATTTTTTTTTTTTGTTTTTTTTTTATTTTTAGTCTATTTTTCTATTTTTTTTTTATTTTGTTTTTATTTATTTTTTTTTTTTTTATTTTTTTTTTTTATTTATTTTTTTTTATTTCTTTATGTCTATATATCTATTGATAATCTAAATATCTAGGTACTTTGTTCTTCTTTTTTTTTAGTTAGATAAATATAATATCTATAAAGACGTATCTATGTTAACTTTTAAGACTATAGTAATATGCCTGGTTGATAATTTAAATCCTAAGCCCAACAGTTATCTAAGTCTGACAGTGTCCACAAAAACACAGGTAATATTATAGTAACGATTAACTTGTTCAATGTAAATAGTTCATATGAATTTATTATAGTGTACTTACCTATTATAAGTGTTATTGGTAAGTAAAATTGACAGTATAATCTCAATTATCGAATATCCAATTCCTAATTTATTTGTTATTTAAAACTTAATAAGTAATAAGCCTATCAATGGTTTCTTAGATTTTAGGATTTCAAAACCTATATTCATGTATATGCCTATTATGGGCCTATAAGAGTAACCAGGATGGAGGGACTTGTGGGGGCTAAGCTCCCTTTCATAATTCCTATACTCCCACACCAACAGTAAAGCTACATAATACATTTTAATTTAAAATATCGTTTTATTCTTTTATTTAAACTATAGATTATCATTTGTATAATGTGATGACTGGTGAGTTTGTGACCTGTGTAATTGTCGATAAAGTAAACACAAAAATAGTCTTCACCCAGAAGAATAGACTCACGATTTTAGTTTTGTAACATTAATGAATAAACGGTAAGTAGGTAACGATGACTAGACAACGATCGCTGCGCCAGTCGGCATTAGACTCTTTTGCTAAAAACAGAATCGAATTTTATATTATTTTATTATATTATCATTTATCATCGTCCTTTGATCTTCCTAAGTACAACGGTTGTGTCTGATAGTTCGTATTCTGGTCAACGTCAGTATATTATTAAAATAATATATTAGTTAAATTTTGTTTTCTTATATTTTCAGGCTTTAATAAATATAAAATAAATGAAACCGAATAAAAATCAGAAATGTTCGTTAGATAGGTAATCAATTGATTATCATTTTACAGTCATCGGGTTAATTAAAAAAGGCTATACTGATCAAAAATCTGTTTTTTCAAAATTTATACAAAACGCTACATTTATGACTTATCACTTACTGCTACAACAAGTTCCGCATCTAGTGAAAAAACAGTAAACAGTTTCAGCAATGCGTTAAACTTATTTAGGGTCGACTTATGATACTGATCAATCCTCTAAGTTATCTATCATGGCTATTGAAAATTTGAAAGAGATTTATTAAATGTTCTAAATAAAAATAATTTTTTAAAAAAATGCAAATTCTGAATAGATGCTTAAACTGTAATTACTAGTGCATTATTATTACCTATGTTACCCATATCAATTATTTAACTTCCTTTCACTTATATTACAAGAAAATTAAAAACTTGAATTTGTTGCTAAAATAATATATTTTAATAATTTAATGTTTACATTATTCACAATTAATGTAACATGTCAGTTGGGTGGGTATTTTTACTAATTATAAAGATGCTTGGGTTGAAGCCCCCCCTAACCTTCAGGTCTAGATACGCCTATGCCTATACTATGTACAAATGTGCAATATAGAATACAATATAGCCACTTAGGAAGATTCAAATGATTAAAAAGTGTATTTGTACCTAGGCCTATATTGTGGTCTGGGAGTACCTATAGGTTATAAAAAAAAGTCAAATCCCTTATAAGTAAATAGGTATCTAACATTTTAACAATGTATTAAATCAGTTTGTACTGTGTTGTATCCAGGGTCAAACACCCCTCCCCCCTTTTCAAATTGCTATTTTCCCACTAATATATGTACTGTGTACCTATATTAAGTACCTATCTATAAACAAAACCTCGGACACTTAACATAGGTATTATATGAGTAGGTAGTAGGTACCTACCTAACTTAAAATCATTATATAGTATAAGTAGTAACTAATATTTGAAAGTGTCCCCTGGCATAAATTATTTATATTGAGCTGCTATAACAATAATGTTAGTCAACACAATGTTAATTAAAAACTTATTTAAACTTTAAAATATTTATCAACTTCTTTTATATTTCAGAAAGTGTGGTTCAATTTACAGTGTACGACTACTGAAAGGCAGTGGAGGCTTAAATAAAGGTTTTGGTTATATAATGTATAGAAGTTTAGCTGCAGTTGAAATTGCTATCGACACGTACAACGGAACATTTTTGACAGAAAGTGATACTAATAAGCCGCTGATTGTACAAAAGAGCCTACGTAATACAATTATGATGATTTATGGACTATCAAGAGGAAATAACAATAAATACTACATCAGAACTGTAGGAGTTTTATATCGTTATATGGATATACCTACTATTTTCAAACTAATATTTTAAATTTATATTTCAGGAAATTAATTATTTTGTGATCAATCATCCATCACTGTTGCTAAAGTTTGAATGTGAAGATGATACGAAGTTGTTCATATCTTTTAAATCATTAAAGTAAAGTATGGTAAATACATTTTAGAGAATTTAAATGTAATTAACATGTGTTTTTTTTAATTACATTTAGAGCAGCACAAATTTTTAAAAAAAAACTCAAAGATACGTTTAATTTGTATGGAGCTAAAATGTACTATTTTAACGATACAGAAAATTGGGTAAGTAATCAATTAATAATCAATCAAGAATTAATAGTTATATATTAGTTTAATACATGCTTGAATTAACATAAATAGAAAGTTGCTTGAATAAATAGATATTTATTTTACTACACCTACCTACTTTATTCGCAAATATATACACTGATATAAAATAAAAAAGTTATTACAACTATTGATATATAATTGAAAGAACTAACTATTAGTTAGTTACCTTATTAGAACTACTACTATAATCACTAACCAGAGTAGTATGTAACCAATTTTAAATCATTTTTATTTGTATATAAATAACATTATACAACCATTTGAAGTATTTGAACAATATATATTAGGTACCTATATAATTTATTTGTCTACCTAGGTATGCTTATGTTTAAATAGGTTACCTATATTAGTATATCAAAAATATTTTTAAAGTGTACTCAGTAAATCATTGAATAATTTTTATGCCCTACGGTTTATGTACATTTTAAATAAAATTTAAAAATGAAAGATTTAGAAATTGAATTAAATGTTTTCAATTATCAACTTAATTGACATACTTAAATAAAAACATTTCAATTTGACTTAAAAATTCCTTGAATTAAAATTTATTGCATTTTCATTTACTAAAATTGCTAACTATATAACAACTAACTTAAAATTTCTGATTTTATTGCTTGGGATAAGTTTTTAAATGTGGGTATATTTTAATTGAGTTATCAACAAACATTTAAAATTATTGTTATTTACTAGTTTATTACATAAGAGCTATTATCAATCATCATAATTCATTTAAACAAAATAATTTTGCTGTTAGTGGGTTTTCTTTTTCTTTTATATAAGTACTTAAGATGATGTCAGAGCAATATTTGTTTTCTTTCTAACACTCAAGATAAAACGCTTTACCTAAAATCGTTTTTTACGATTTTTGAGCAATCTTAGAGTAAAATCACCTGTTACAAAAATTGTGGAGGATAATATTTTTGAGGGTATGACATATTGGTTTTATATTTTATTATTATTTGACTTACAAAAATAAAATAAAAAATTGTAAATTTAAATGATCTTCAAATTGTTTTTAGACTATATAAATACAAATCGATAAGTCAGTCCCTTAAAAATATTATTCCTTATCAATTTTGTGATGGATGATTTTACTCTAAAGTTATTTTATACCTAACATAAAAAAATATGATTCTGCTTAGATACGTTTTGTCTATGTGTGCTTAGCCAGAGAGAGAAAACAAACAGTGCTCTGACATCCTTAAACATTTTTCTTATACATAAGAGTTTAATCAAAATCAGACCTGAAGGATGTGGACCTGAATACCCTATCTTATTTTTCAAGTAAGAGTTGGGAGCACTATTTTTTCTCCTTTTAAGTTTTGTGCTGTGACTGCCGACTATAATGTAAATAAGTAAAACATTTTAATTACACCAAAATATAGGTATAATTAAATTAATAGGTAGGTTTAGTAGGCTACCTGACCTATGTATAGAACTATGAATAGAATTTATACCTATTACCTAAGGTTGGGTTTTTTAAAATTCTATTACATTTGTAAATTTATACAGGATTTATCACTTTCTGTTTTTAAGTTCCTCATCTAGTGAAAGAATAGTAAACAGTTTCAGCAATGCTTCTTAAACTTATTTAGGGTCAACCTATGATATTAATCAATCCTCTAAGTTATCTATTAAAGCTATTGAAAATTTTAAAAAGATACCTAAAATGTCAAATAAATTTTTGCCAGTAGCAGCATCCTAAACTTGAAATTATAATTGTTTAGTGTAACTGTGAAATATTGTTTAACATTACAGTTTTTGCGGGATATACACATCTATGTATGGTTCAATGAACAATTTTTAGTTTAAAATTAAAATAAATTCCACTTATCTTCAAAATTTGATTTAAAAATTTTCTTTTCATCTACTCAGATGTCAATACTTTAGTTTAAATTTATTCAGTTTCTATAGTGAATACATTTTGTGTCAGATGTAAGACAGTCTTTAGAAATGGTTTTAGGATTTAGATGATAGAAACTCCACCAATCCTCTTGAATTTATGTATCTTGTAAAGGAGATTTTTTTTTTTAATACTGAACTTAGTTTATATTCTTATTTAATTTTTCATTATTGGTAGAAGAGTTTAGTTATCCTACGATAAAAAAAAATAGTGTATAATAGTATGTTCATAATGACAATTACTATAAAAAAGAAATAGGTTTGTAAACACAATTTTATCATTAAATCGACAAACATGACGTGTACTTTTGTTGTGTATAAGACTGTATTTTTTTTAATAAGTTCAACAGTATAAAAATTGAGTTTATATCTATTATTTAATTGCATTGCTCGGCGTTATCATAAAACATTAAATAGGTAATTGTCTCTAACTTATGCAATCACTATGATTAATTACTATTAGAATAATTCAATCATAATTCATAATCAGAAGTTTTCAAGTTAAATAATTGTACTTGATTTTAATTTAGAGTTTCTAATAGAAACTGGAAAAGTGGAAATTCTTTATTTAATACACTCAGCACTCAATAATACTATTTACAAATTAGGAAGTGCTTCAGTACTTGAACTTGATGTATCTGTCCTTTGATACAATGATTTCTTAAATAAGATTTTTAATATTTTTAAAGGCTAATAAAAAATTATGATAAGAAATAGTTATTGAAAATAGATAACTCTTATCAGCATTCATTAAGTAAGCACGTTTTAGACAATTCGACAATTTGCATTTTCTTGTTTTCTTTTTACGTATCATTTTTCAATATTGTTTCAATTTTTGAATAACCCTCATTGTGCTATTACATCGATTTAAGCTTATAAGTTGAATTTAGATTATTCTAACTTGAACCATGTCTAACTCTGTATATGATACCTACGTGTCTCCTCTTTCGACAAGATATGCATCAACTGAAATGAAATTCAATTTTAGTGACAGAAAAAAATTTACTACATGGAGAAATCTTTGGACTTTACTAGCCCAAGCTGAACAGGTAAATTTAATATTTTATCTACAGTATCAGAACATTCTGGCTACAAACAATATGTTCAAAATTATGAATTATAATATCATTGGTAAATAGGTACTTATACCTATTTGTAGGTATTCTTCTTTTTTTTAGGTATACAATTTAATTAAATTTGCCACTTAGGAATTTCTATTTGCCTTTATGATATCTACATGATTTATTGTGTAGGTTTTACAGGTATTTGTTATATTAAAATGTAAATCTTACCTCATAAGTAGGTATGCACCTACCATAAGACAGACAATATAGTGGTAATTTTTGCTATTAGCATAATATGTAGAGAACCATAATTGAGAATTAAAATATTTTCCTATTTTAGATTCTGAGTGTAGTAATGAATGTATTGATTTTGCAATGTGTATGTTTTTTTTTGTATCTACTTTGACTGCTTTGACTGTTAAGTTAGGTTAGGTAAATTTGACCTGTATAAGCAAAATGTTTTATTGTTCAACTATGTAGTTATTTATGTGGGTAGAAATTAATATTTTTACATGATAATTTTACTAGTGTAGCTGTAGCATGGTAGAAAACGAAAGAGTATGACGCATATATTATTGTTAACCTAGATGTACCTACTTGGTATTAAAAAATTTCTCGTTTTTAAATTTTCAATTGAAGGAAAGGTGGGAAGATTTAAAGAAGAATATTTCAATAAACCCACAAGGTAATCGAGTGCGATTTGTTCCCATTATTCCTAACAACAGTAATCAGCGTATTAATGTATTGCCACCAACTTCTTCCAAAAGCATGTTGTTCAAACCTTTTAAACCAGATCACATAAACCATTGTCCCAGAAAAGAAAATGTTAACTTGACACAACATACAAATAATGAAAAGGAATATAACAATTTTGCACCAGTTACACATATGGAAACTCCTGTTCATCCATCTAGATTTAATGTGAATGATCAAAAGTTTGTTGGTCTACAATTTTCACAGAAGCAATAAGTAAAAAAGCTTAATAAACCAAATTCTGTTGTAGAAAATTGTAATATGAATGAATTAGAAAATAGCTTACCCAGATTACCATTACGTACTGTTTGGACTAATGACAACAGTTTAAAAGATTTTGGATGTACTTTACCAACAAAAATCCATAGATTTAAAAAACCTTTTTCATCAAATGTAAATTATTTATCTACTTCTAAACAGAGTACAAACTATATGATGAATTCTAAATTCCAAAAACAATCACAAGTAATACCAAACACAATGAGCAAGATTAACAGTTCAAGGTACTTCAAATCATCATATTCCCTTTCAGAATCTTTAGGCCAAAAGTTACATCCCATATCCGAAAACATGAACTCGTCATTTTTTACTATGGATAATGAATAAACGTCTCCTGTCACTGGTCAAAACATCAATACATTAGAACAGTACTCTTCAGGTTGTATTAATCAACCTTTTAACATGGATGATATATGGAAAGATTATCAGTGTCAACCACCAAGAATGTGATAGATATAGGTACTTAAATTACATTAAAAATGTCCCACATTCTTGTTGACAATCCGTTATCCTTTTCTGAAATTGGTTTTAAATAATGTCAATATCATAATACATACCTACAACTCTAAGATATGATTAAAAAACATAATGATGTTATAAGCTAAAATGTGTTACATAAATATTCCATTAGTATTTAGATAATAAAATATAATTTGTCTGTGATATCTTGAGGCACATATTAATGACATTTTGAAAAATAATTTATTTTATATACCATAGATTGATTTTAGAAAATTGAAATACAGTGCAAAAATATAAAATAATATAATTTTTAACAATCATTGAATACATTTTACAGAAATTCTTAACATATAAAATATTTGTAAAAACCATTAATCTATAGAACATTCCAACAAATGATTCCACTTTACTAAGGGAACTTACCTTTTAACTTAAATGTTCCTCTAGGTTTTACATAAAACATTCATTTTTATCTTTATTTAAATAATTAAA